ATAAACAGAAGATTCAACTGCTTTCATTGATTCAACGTGACTAATAAACACACGACTACGGCAATATACGGTTTGTATCTGAGTTCTTATTATTATAATTTTCATTCAAATAAATATGCTGATTACAGAACCGGCATTACTATCAAAATGCGCATTACAATCGCATTCGATTAATCATGCAGCCCTAGTTCAGGGGTCCATGGCGGAGCAGGCAGTCCAGGGATACATGGCGAAGCAGGGAGCTGGGGGGGCCATGGCAGAGCAGGTAGTCCAGGGGGCCATGGTGAAATAGCCTCCGTGGTCTTGGCCCGGCCCCTACGGCCGGAGACATATAGCCCACCCAAAAAAAATTCCTTGGGGAAAATCTTGGGTTCCCTGGCTGGAACCGGCTCTGGGCTTGACTCGGGATCTGAGGCCATCCGTGGGCCAGACGTGGGAACAGCGGCTCTCCCTGGGCTTGACTCGGGAACTGTGGCCCTCCCTGGGCCAGACATGGGAATAGCGGCCCTTTCTGGACCGGACTTGGGAACAGGAGCCCTCTCTGGACTGGACGTGGGAACAGGAGCCCTCTCTGGGCTGGACTGGAGAACAGGAGCCCTCTCTGGGCTGGGCGTAGGAGCCCTCTCTGGGCTTAACTTGGGAACAGGAGCACACTCTGGAATGGACGTGGGAACATGAGCCTTCTCTGGGCTGGACTGAGGAACAGGAGCCTTCGCTGGGCTGGGCGTAGGAGCAGGAGCACTCTCTGGGCTTAACTTGGGAACTGGAGCCCACACTGGAGCGGACTCAGGGGCTGGAGCAGACACTGGAGCGTGCTCAGGGGCTGGAGCCGACACTGGAGCGGGCTCAGGGGCTGGAGCCGACACTGGAGTGGACTCGGGGGCTCGAGCTAACAGTTTTTTCCTCCTCAGATTCCTCCTTTGGTTTTAAGTGAGGGAGACAGCTGCTGTCAGCTGAGGGCTTGGGAATGTATTGGCCGGCGGGCTTGACGATGGAGCGGCCGGCAGACTTGACACTGGAGCAGCCGGCGGACTTGACAATGGAGCGGCCGGCGGGCTTGACTTCTGAGCGGCCTGCGGGCTTGAGAGTACAGCGGCCAGTGGGCATGACGATGGAGCGGTTCTGGATTGGGGCCGGACAGTCCTGGGAGGTCAACGGGGCGATGGTAGTTGGCCCCGATCCAGAACAGAGAATTCAGTGTGGCGTTGTCAAATCCTGTCAAAACGGTGAGCCCACTGAATTCCCAGGCGAACTCTACCAGCGGGAAGTCCTTACGGGCTAGGGTGACAAATCTTGCGGCGGTTTCCATTACCACGAGAAAAAAAAAAGAAAAAAAAAAACTTTCAGCAAACGGAAACCAAAACTGGGAGAAGGGGCGCCGCTTACTGTATGCTAGGTCCAGTGTTCTGTCACGGTGCCTACTGTGTAGGAACGAGGAGCGCGGAGACGACGGAGTTTCACAAAGAACAGTCTTTATTAACCCTTTCAGTGGTGAGTTTAAAATATTCTAGCAGTCCCCCCAGAGTGAGTTTTTTTAAGGCGACCGTTATTTTAGAACGTTTCCCCTTACTGTTTCCATGGCGACACGTCATGTTTGTCACGTGACACACCGTGGCCACAATGACACTGTATGAGAGATGGATCGCTTTTATTTAGTTTTTCCTTTTTTATTTAAAATATTCACAAACTTGCATACCATGCCATGAACAATCTGATATTCCAATTCACAAATATGTGTAAATGAGTGTTTTGTCATTTAAAAACCTTTCTAAATGATCTTGATCGTGATCTGTAATGTGAGATGGGCGGAACAATCTGATATTCCGATTCACAAATATGTGTAAATGAGTGTGTTTTGTAGTTTAAAAACCTTTCTAAATGATCTTGATAGTTATCTGTAAAGCGACATGGGCGCCGCTATGTTTGTTCGCGCTGCAGTTCAGAAAGTCCTGTCAGACAGATTTACAGCACGTGAATTCATCAATTTCTCCTGAAATACAAGTAATAAGTGGCCGGTGAACTGGGTGCTTTCTAAATGATCTTGATCGTGATCTGTAACGTGAGATGGGCGCCGCCATATTTGTTCTCGCTGCAGTTCAGAGAGTCCTGTCAGTCAGATTTACAGCACGTGAATTCATCAATTTCTCCTGAAATACAAGTAATAAGTGGCCGGTGAACTGGGTGAAGAATAGAGTGAATAGAGTGTTACTTACACTATGTGCATCTGATATTAATAAAACATCGGCAAATACAATTTGAATGGATTGTTATTGTTGATTCCAAAGACATATATTTTACAAATTCTAAATGTATTGTTTTACTAGTACTTATGTGTATTTATATGTCTGAAACCTAAAATATGCATTATGTGGTTAAGAACACTGCATAGTTGTGATAATATGACAAGCGCAGTGCACGTCTCTCTCTGGCTCAGCGTCAGCCAACGCACAAACCCACAGTTTGAATTTGGCAGTTATGTGACGTCACCAAACGTTCTAAATCCCATATGTGGGACCGTACCGTACCGCTCAAAAGGTTAATCCATTCTGGGGAGAACAGAGGGTAGCCAGGATACACACATAGCATGTAGACATTTAACACTGGACGCAGGACACAGGGCTTAAGTACCAGGAACTCAATGAGGGGTAACATATGAGACACACCTGACTCAAATTAGGAGAAACCCGGGAGAAACTGGGTCACGGGGAGTTAAAAACACTGCATAGTTGTGATTATATGTCAAGTGCAGCGGCGTCTCAGCTGCAGCTAAAGCGCAAAAACGCAGTTTGAATTTGGCAGTTATGTGACGTCACCAAACGTTCTAAATCCCATATGTGGGACCGTACCGTACCGCTCAAAAGGTTAATCCATTCTGGGGAGAACAGAGGGTAGCCAGGATACACACATAGCATGTAGACATTTAACACTGGACGCAGGACACAGGGCTTAAGTACCAGGAACTCAATGAGGGGTAACATATGAGACACACCTGACTCAAATTAGGAGAAACCCGGGAGAAACTGGGTCACGGGGAGCACTTGGGGAACAAAACACAACACAAGAACAGTCCATGGGTGTGACAACCACATTTAGATGGTGACATTTTTAGCTCAAAAGCTTTTTTGCCCCA